AAATACGTGTCAAATGATTGCAGTATAATTAAAACACATAATTTGTGTCACAATTAAATTTCTTTAAGTATTACGGATTTTATTGAATACTAAGATTTATTGTAAAATATAATTCTAACTAAAATACTGTACAATAAATATGATTAAAGTAAGTAGAATTTACTTTATATTTAATAAATGTTATACTAACCATATTACACGAGTTGTACTTATATTAATAATAAAAATTAAATTTTATAGTACCGTATTAATAATTTTATATAAAAACTATAATATTAATATAATTGTAGTTTACAATTAAATAACTAAACAAGATTTTAAACTCTTTTATCACTAGTATTTTATTAGCGAGCAAAACCTGTAAACTAAATTGATTGCTAATTGACTTTAATTTTACTTATTATGCCTAACCTTTTCATGGCGAATTCTTACATAGAAATTTTATACAATTATTTTACTTACTAGTTAGTTAATTATCCACATAAGTTTAAATAATTTCTAAAATAAAATAAATCATCATAGACTTTACCTTAATTTATAATGTAAAATTGATTATTGTATAAAAAGAATTTATTTATTACTGTTATAAATACTTACGATGATTTATTGATCCGGTTTTAACCACAAATAATATTATTATGTTACATAATATTCTCTCTTTATTGTAACACAAATGTAAGATTAATAGTTTATAAAGTTAGAGTCTAGTAAATAACCAATTGTATATTTGATGTACAGTATATTTCTCATATTAAGTTTTACTTTTAGAACACTATTTATATCCTTGATATTTATCTGATAATTTTAAAAAATATTTGAGAACGTTTAGCCAGGTGTGAATGTGGACAAGTATATCCAAATTTTACAGGATTTAAATCATATCCTTTTGATTATTTCATAGAATAAACAATTAGTGTATCACGGTCGTGGATTCAGGTGTGATAATGTACACAAGTGTGCGTGTTTAACAAATGTATTATAAAATAATAGGTATATTGTGTTTAATGATAATTTAATAGTAAAGGTATAAATATATATTTATTAAGTATTGATAACAATAGAATTACAGATTAAGCTCTAAATTAATTACAGAATATTTTTAGTAAATGGCTTCATATGTGTAGTAAATTAATGAAAAAGATTTAACAACTGTGTAGTAAATAGTATAATGCAACTTATAATGCAACATATAAATCATTGTAAATTGCGAATTAAGTATAAATAATTAAAATTTTAGGAGTAACAAGTGTACTGTACGTGTAAGATAAAATTAAGATAAAATGTCCCTAGTTGAGTACACATAACATATGATGATTCTCAAACAAAAATTTTGAACAATTTATCTTTGATACCTATATAAAGTAAGCTGAAATATTACATTTAGCAGTTTACAAATTATTTAGTCTAGAATTATATATATACAATGAATCTTAATTATATTTTCTGCGTATTTGTCTGTTTGTCATTTACGTTTGGTGAGTATAATTAAAAATGAAATAATGCTATATCTTAATGAAATGTAACCCTTATTATATATATTTAACTCAATAGTGATCATCGATTGCAGAAATGAATGTGTGGGTCGTAAAGGAAAGGACACCCTGTACTGTGTTTGCAACGCTACCTATTGCGATGACCTAGATCCTATTACCAAACAACCCGTTGGAACTATACTGTCCTACCAGACCAGTCAAAGTGGGGACAGATTCAAAGAATCGCAATTAAAGTTTACCAAACAAAATGACCACGTTG